GAGCTTATCTTTTTGTACACAGTGGACACATTGCTTGTATGTATTAGCACTAAAATGATGAGTTAATAAATCGATGAGCTCAGGTTATATAAGGAGGAGTCTCACATAGCTGACGTGTCTCTACAGAGCTGTGTGGAGAACGCTTTATTATCTGTAGCAGGGGGGGAAACGCACCGACTAGTTCGTATTCCTATAAACCAGCTTTGATCATCTTGCTGAGCTCAGGATGCAGCGACTGTTCTCCAGCAAAACAGTGATGGGAAGTTGTTTTAGTGGAACATTTGCACACAGAAAGTAGAGCAGCGTCAATAAAAAAAACGGCTACTTGACTGACTGGACTAAGCAGACCCGTCTTACTGCATAATCCAAATCTTCAAGCCTTGTTCAGAATGTCGATTGCTGCTCAGAGGCTGTTGTATCCTGAAGTCGAGGGAAGTTTGAAAACGGTAAGATAGCAAAAGGGGAGAAGAAAGCAACATGAAATGTTCGGAGGAACCGGCAGGGTCATAGAAGTCTACATTGGAGGAGTCAGACAATACTAAAAAGGCAAAAAAAGCCAATAATTCCCTTGTTCTATCCTCCAAAATTGTTAAGATTTGTGACTTTTCTGTGCTCTGTAATGTTGTAAATTGAACTTCTTTCCATTTAAGTTGCAACAAAAGCCATTTAGAGCATGAATGAACTGAAACAGAAGGAAAAACACCATAATAAACAATGACTAGCTGCAGTCTAATTTGTATTATTGCAACATACGTACAGTCGATGCCATTGCTTTGGCGTGTTCGTGCCACGGGCATATCTTGTTTCAGTTTCAGCCACGAAACCACGACGGCACAGAATGAAACTCACCGCTTATGAGGCTGAAACACAACAATGACAGATTGTGCCGTGCTTTACCACACAAACCTTTTTATCACAAGAGGCAAAAGACTGACACTGAAATTCAACCCAGCGACAGCAGACAGCACATTTAAAGGGAATGCTTTTTATGTTTACTACAAAAAAAACAAACACTCAGGACGTGACTAATTTAGGCAGCAGAGCAGTGCAACCAGACATAGTGGTAGACAAGCTTACTATGTTAAATCTGGCTGAAAAGCAGTGTGCACTGGCCTGTAGGTTAACAGACAGCTCAGTAGTTTGGCAGGCTGCTGTGTTTACTGTGGCTCCA